AACAATTGTTAAACACGAACGAATAATACTAATTGTAAGATTCATAAGAGACACTGAAATAGAACATTGAACTTTTCATCGAAGCAGTTCGATGATTTTCACAAAGAGTGAAAATTTACTTACGACTCGAACGCTTCCGAAGAGAATGACTTCGATTATGGTATTACCGAAAGGTATGCGAATTTACTTGGTGCCTAGTGCAAACTCATGACATTTTTGATTAATACTATATCCTGTAATCCGAAGAAACTCAAGATCTGTTTTCAAGTCATTCCGTCTATTCGAACCATACCATCAACTGTTTGGATTTGGAATATTCTGAATATTCTCTGGACTCGGAAAAATAATGCGCTAGGAAAACAGCCGGAAGAAATCCCCATAATTAAACCAATAATGAGGATGTTACAGTCATTATCCTCACGATCACAACTTGCTTGATAACAGTTAAAAATTTCACATCAAACTGTTAAATTGGACAATCCATATCAACTGTATGCACATTTAATGCCACAAAATCACTCGCCTAGGAACTAGATGCGTTCCAATCTTCAAATTTTAACCAAATCTGTCGTTAAAAGAAGTTTTTATACGATGACTCGAAAGAGTTGTTTCGTAGATGATCTCATCTTAAACATCAAAACCGTAAACAACACCAGAAACGATCATTTGCTTGCATAATTAAGGTCAATCAGATATCATTTAAATCATTTGTCTACGAACACATTCACTTATATACACAACAAACAATTCTTCGACTTATTTTCTCTCATTGAAGTGATTTTAAACAAGAAAACATGCGAAAACATCACTGAAAACAGCACTTCTTTCATATTATGATGACTTTTCCTTTTCGCATTGATTAATTGATAAATTATTCGATTAAATCATCAATTTGTTTATTCATCCTCATTTAGTGAACTGTATCATGTATCGTTCAGTATATACATAAGTGAAACGCACAGAGAAAAATCATGCATACTTATGAAAATCACACAGGATTAGAGATTTATTTAAACGCGGCTCGATTCTTTCAAAAAACAAAATATTTACTTGACTGATATTTCGAAATATTCTTTCAAAAATATTTTTCCTTTTTTTCCTTTACGAATGACCAAGCATATAATATTTGAATTATAGTGAGAATTTCTACAAATCTCTTTGAAAAATGCACTGAATTTCCGAAAAATTCCACATTTTCCTTCCATACTTATCATGCGCTAAATAACCGAGGTGCATTTATTAAGATGAACGATGAGGCAAACAGAATTGCTCCCGAAAAAAGAAACAAGCAAAATCGATCCACTACCATCGCCACGAAATGCCAATCGTAATTCTCTTCTTCCTCTTCATCTTCCTCATCCATACGTTGCCTGGAATTTTGGAAAATGAAGATTTTCACTGAAAATGTCACGGTTCTCACAGGAGATCGCTTTTAAAAATCTGAAAAACCTCCACTCTTTGTGAAGAATCCTCTTGAAAGACAAAATTCCGTTGAGGATCCTCCCATATCGATAGAAGAAACTCTCAAAATAACCTTAAAGTCCTCAAGAACTCCGATACTTCTTGCATAGTCGTTTCAATTCGTTGCAAATAAGGTTCGAGCACTTCGTTGATCTCTTTCAGCTCACCACCCTTATAAATATCCGTTCTGATTGATGAACAAGCCAGATTAGACCATATCAAACGAGGCTGAGCCTTTGGCGATGATGCTGACGATGATATACTCTTCCTTGTAGTGACCACTGTGTCTCGATCCATTCTGCTATCCGAAAGTAATACTTCACGAGGCCCTGAATCATCATTCGGCTTTTTTAAATGTTCAGTTTTCTTCCGAATAAGTGAGAAACTCCAAAATGTGGAGCAATTCTGGTTTAAAGAACGTTCTTAAAACTTCAAAGATCAACCAGTTAATGGTTGTGATCAATCCGATCAACGTGGATCACCGCATTCATGACCACAATTCGTGAGATCCTTTAAGCATCTAATCTTTGAGCTCTCCACAATGTTCTTCTTATCAGTATAACGTGACACACTTTCTCTTCTATGAGTCTCACATAATCGTTATCCGCAGAATCCGTTCCTTATGCACAGATGAAATCAGAATTATCCAACGCAAAATCAAAAACAATTTTCGGTTTCCTAACATCTTTAAGACTTCTTTTAAATGTCTTCAGTAAATAATCTGCGTTTCGGTTTACAGTTCCAACAATTTAACAGTCTTAAGTTTGACAAATTACCTTTGTGTAGTTCATCTTGTCTCCTCAGTGAAGTAACACTTCCTCCTCCTACCACCTGAACTACGCTACCAGGTTTCTGATCTTGCTTCTCAAGATCCGATATCGGATCTGTGTTTGGGGAACACTCAATATCACCAGCCGTCGAGTTGTCCAACGGTGATGGATGTAGTGCTTTTTCGAGTGCTGCTAGTCGCTTCCTTCTGCAATATGCCATTTCTTCACGACGAGTCGGCACTTGAGGTGCTAATTTTTATTGAGTTCCCTTCTTTTCTGGATTATGAAGAGCAGTTCTTTACTGGATAAT